CTCTTTCTCTTTATCTCCATTCTTCCTGTTTCTGTCTTCCCATACTGTCTTTATTCTCTCTACATCTTGCTTAAAGTAATAGATCCAGATTTGTGGGGGTATTCATGGCAGAGGACGACGAGGAGAAGGAGGAAGAGGAGTATAAGACGGAGGAGGAGGAGGAGATTATCTTAACAGTTATTTGGTGTGCTGCATTTTTGGTTCCGAGCACCACTCAGCCTTCCGTTTGACAGCTCTTATCCAGATCCTTCAGGGTGCTTCCTTCCGCAATCAACTAATCATATTCTTTACAGTGCTGTCTTTTGTGAGACTCTCTATTTTTGGCTCACATCCGAACAGGAAACAGTATTTAGTGCTCGTCATTTGGGCAGAGATCTAAGAGCCGTAAAAGCTCAGGCAGGATTTGAATTCCAGCAATAATTGAGATAATTCCAAAAGCTAATATTTGGGGCACTTGACCTACCTAATGCCAGACAATAGATAGATAGATAGATAGATAGATAGATAGATAGATTGAAGAGGGCAAGGTAATCAGTTTGTGACCTTTTCAAATACTCAAAGACCAAACAGATCCTAATAACACTAGATGTCTCTAGAAACATGGATTGTTAATTTTAACCTCTAGGCAATGTTCCCAGTAAATGTGCCGGCTTTGATTCTTTTCTATTAATCTGCAGTGCAATTTGCAGCCATTCCCATTAAGCCTTATATGTTAATGGGAAACATTAAAGAAGAAAGAGAAGGAAAAGTCCAGGGAAGACAATCAACCACACTTGATTTAGGCATTAATTATTCTAATGAAAGCAGGAAATCCACTTTAAGGTCAAACTGAGCTACCTGCAGATACATTTGATATTGGAAGTCATACTCTGTGGTTTTAATATGTCCATTTGAGACAGTTGCTGTGCCAAATGCTACTTTCTAATGACCTTGCCGATCGAGTTACCCTTATGTTGGTGCTCTCTCTTAATGAGATTGCCTCATTATGAGTTTGTACTGTATTGTTGGCAAACAGTCTAGTAATTCTCTAGGAATTGCAGTGAGTAATCAACACACACACACACACACACACACACACACACACGCACACACACACACACACACACATAGGATATAAGAATTGTTGAATCATAGAACTAATTTTCTATTTAAGATTGCATTTTAACATCAATTAAGCAGAAGTTTATTTAATGAAATAAAACACTAGTGTATATATATATAGATTTCCAGGATTTCTTTTGACTTGTATACTGTGTGTATGTATGTAGATTTTGTAAGGAAAATTATAATTATCCAATTTTTTCTGCAGTGATAGCACTCACTACATTTGTTTTTCCTCTGGGGCTTGAATTTTTGGTTCAAAATAACAAAGTCTGTGCTGGTAATTTGATTGGTGCAATATCTGTGTGGACTAAAAATAGTTTGTAATATCAGTATCAATTCCACCACACAGGCAGATAACCAGCTTCGGGGGGGGGCTGACATAGTTAGCTGTTGCTTAATCCGATCTGTGAGTCATTTGAGCGCTATGTTACTCCATGACTCTGCATGTTACTTTGTGTCATGATTTAAATCATGGCATAACGCATAGAGCACTAAACTCGTTGCTGTGGGTTTTAACAGTCTGGACATTTGCCATCAGCACAATTCGACCCATGAAAGAGGGGCAACCACAGTTGTAGTTAGACCTCCCCCTTTTTATAATGTCGGGCAAACACAACACTCAGCGTGTGAGCTTCCAATAATTCAGCAAAAGAAATACAACAAAAGTAACATCTAGTGGGAATCAGAAACATTCACTGTTCAAGTTGAACACAAACTCAGCAGAGCAATGGGTCCTCTGAAATGCTGAATGCTGCTGGGGGACAGACAGCTAAAGCTATGGGCTTGTTAAAAATGGGGGCAAAATCAGCATTTGTAGGAGAGTATGATGTGCTCCAGTCAGTAGTGCACAACAGAAGTTGACAGTGCTTTGCCGCCTGTCAATTGTCCCCTTTACTCTAACTTTTTTAAGTTCTTTTCATACAGAGAAGAGATACTAAAGCCAGTTTAATGTGTGTATATACCTTCACTGCTCCATTAAAGAGACACACAACTCACTTTAAAAGTCCACATTATGCCACGTCTCTGGGATTTCTTGACTTGCGAACATGAGCATCTGCGCAGCTGTCAACACTGAGGTGCTCTTTTGGCAAAGAGAGGAAGTAGGTATGAACTTTGTGAACTTGTAAAATGTTGGTTTAAACTTGTGCACCACTTACAGCAGCGCTAACAGCTCTGAACCAGAATACAGACCCATACCCTGTGCTCTTCCTCGGCCACCTTTTCCATCTTTTCTAATTAATTCTCTGTGGAGCCTCACACCTGCGGGGGCTGGACCAACTCTGCTCTCTTGTTTCAGGCTACAGGAGACAGTAACAGATGTTCGCCTATACAAAAAGAACTGTCCCAGGTCACGGGGATGGAGAACAGTATAGGAAGTCTGAAGCTCACTGTAGGGCCATTTTCGGTTTTCCAGAGTCCAGAGTTCGATTGTCACCCCTACCTTTAACCCTGCTGGTCTGCTTTCTGACTTCTTTACTTTGTTCTGATCGGGTGATCTGCTTGGCTCCTTTTGCCAATAAAGGGCAGCTGTGTAGCACTGTTGCCTAGAATTTTGATCGGTGCCCGTTTTGGCAGGCGAAGCCATATGAACACCACTCTTGCACAACCAAAAGTTAATAACCAAGTTAAACAAAACTTAGTTCTCCCATGAAACGACACCCCAGTTAAAGCTGGGATATGTTTGAAAATAACTAGTTTTTACAAAGCATTCTTTGGCCATGTCTAAATCCAAAAGTGCTCTGAATGGCTTTGGACAGTGTCTTAGTGTTGCACTCGTTTGCATGTACAGCTGAAAATTAAGAGTAGTTGTGTGAAGGATTAAGACAGTTCTGACATTGTAAAGGTGTTGCAGGAGTAGTAATTCCTTTAGTCTGGTCAAATTGTTTGCATGCTCTGTTGTCAATATGTCTGATTAAGTTGCCTCTTAGGACATATTTTGCGTTTTCAAGAAATGAAAGTACGTAAAAAAGTGCTACTTTTCCACTATCCTCTTTGGGGGGAAAAAGCAATGGTATCAAGTTTAGCTTACACTCTTTTTAACGTATCCCATTTTCTTGTTATGAATACCATTGAAAATATTGTCATGAAATGTATATGTCCTTTTTTGTCAAAATGTATCTATGTATACAGTATGTATGTATGTATATGTGTAACATTTTTTGCAATTCACTTCAATAGTTTGTTTTAGCTTTTTTGTGTGTGTGCATCTAATTTTTTTATGTTCCACTCAGTAGAGAGGTAATCAGCCACTTTGTACAAATTGGCAATATACACGTGAACACAATCAGCATAGACACATCACATTTCGTCTGCAAAGTTGTTCACATAATCAGGTTTACCTGAGGAAGTAGATACGATAAGTAAGATTTACTTAAGATTGATAAGTACATCTTTTTTAAGATACAAAATTACAAAGACAAAAAAATATATATAAATGAGTGAAACAATAAGAAAACATTACAAAATGAAACACAGAACAAGACAGACCAAACAGAAATACACAAAAACAAAGACAGGGAAGGAGATCTAAAGGCTTGCCCAGAGAGATGGGTTTTAAGAAGCCAGAACAGTCCAAAGATTCAGCAAATCTAAGCGATTGGAGAAGATGATTCCAGATGGTTGGGGTGACAACAGCAAAGGCGCAGTAACCTTTTGTTTAGCAAGTGGAGAATGGATAAAAGACCAAGATTTGAGGAGCGGAAATCACAAATGTGGTTGAAACTTCCTTAAGTCCATGAAGAATTACAAAGAACTGGGAACATGCTATCAGTATGCAAGTACTTTTTAATTTAGTTTGAGAAATACAGACATCTTGACTTCATCTCCTGCAGGAGTATGGATGAAGCATACCGTGGCTCGTCTGGAACCGATCTTGTGCTACCTTGTTCCAGAAAAAGTGTTTATATTAACCAGTGTTTTAGGCAATCTCTTGCAGATTCAGATGAAACTGCCAGCCTGAAAGCGCCTTAAATTTCATCCCCTTAAACTGTTGGATAAGGATGCCACCTTGGCTGCTCTCACTTGGCGCCCAGTTGTTTCTGATTGGAGGCCTTCGAGCTGAGCCAACGAAGCGGAGCGTCCCGTTTGATCTGCCAGGGCTCTGTTCCCTCATCCAGACAGAACAGTGTGAAACATAAAGGCAAAGCCAAAAAAGACATCTATAATTAGTGAGTCAGTTAGGCTTCACCTCAGCAATGCTCTCAGCTGGCCGAGACCCCCAGTATAAAACACACACAGTCGCTCACACCCACTATGCCCACCCCCCACTTTAAGATTCATCTAGACTCATGGCTCTGGTTTGTAATTGCCTCACAAGTCTGGTTACTGAGAGCCAGCCTATTAGGAGAGCACCGGAGTGGAACATAACATTTTCAGTTTCAATTAGGTCTACGAGGGCATACATAATGCACGGGGGAGGTTTGGTCCCCTTAGAGTAGTGAACTGATGAACTTGTGGGGAAATGACGCAGCAGTGGTCAAAGGAGCTGAGCTGAGCTGACTGTTTGTGCTGCATACGGCTGTAAGATTTGTCAGTCCTAAGTGAATTAGTGTGTGCTCATTGGAATGTGGAGATAAGTTTGGAGTGAGCATTGGGCAGTGTGTGTATGTATGTGTGAGAGAGCGAGAGAGTGAGGCAGTAAGCTATAAGGCAGGAAATTGCACCAGACTCAACTAACTGAATTACATTTAAACATATGAGGCTACAATTACCTGGTGTGAATTTTAGCTCACCGAGGTGCAGCAGCCCTCACAGACTGGGATCTTTTGGTATGTGATGTGTTGCTCTCATTTTATAATCTGCTGCTGACCATTTAAGCATAATGCTAATACATTATATGATCTTAGCAGGGTCGTGAGGTTGATTAGGCTTTGTGAGATCCCCCCCGCAGCACTCACTTTTACAGTGGCTCTCGGTAGCTTGGCTTGAAGCCCGAGGAGAGCAGCTAGCCACGGCTTGGCAGGTCGTCGGAGTCCGTGGTGGAGATGGACGCTCCGGGTCTGTTGTTGAGGCCACGGTGGAAGCTGGAGTAGTTTGCTCATTCGTTATGCCTGTTTATTTGTAAAAAAAAATCGGATATTGACTTCTGTCGCTTCATTTTCGCAGGTAATGCAGTTGCAGTTGATAAACAATGCACACTCATTTCAAATCAAAATGCAGCAGTCAGTGTGTGTTTGTGTTTTATCAGTTGGTGAGAGTGAGTGAAGGTATTGTTTGGCTCGTAAAAACACAGACACAACTTAGGCTTTCATTCATATAAAATAGTTTGTCAGAGTACAAAAGTTACCCGGGCCATGCCCCCCCGGTTCCACGGTCTATGGTTTGATCAATGCTTCAATCATTCACTGATTTGCATTTGAATGGTGCCATATTAGCTTACAAAATGGAAATTACATAACCACAAATCTCTAGAAACCACAATCCCTTTGCTTATTCAAATACCTTAACCAGTTTATGTGCCATAATCACAATCTTGCCCTAAACTAAATCCCTTAACCATTGTTAGCTGCCTATCCTTAGGTGTCAAACCCTAACCATATTATTATTACTTTACTGTGCAGATATCTGATTAATTAATGGGGATAAAGGCCTTTGATTCAACATAGTGCAAGTTAAATGCTGTCCTGCTCATGCATCCATCTCCATAGGCATATCTTTTATTTTTTCTCTACAGAGTGTACTCCGTTTGGTTAATGAATGCATGCCTGAAATTAGAAGTGCTTGCATAAAGTTTTATAGACTTGCAAGACAGATGCTCTGATTAAATCTGAGTGTCTAACGGCCCTCTGTGCTCAGAAGGTTTCTGCTTCCCCCTTTTGACATTGTGCACCCTCAGGCTTCCAACCTTCATATCTGTGCCATCTTCTCAGTCTGCCAGTTAACTAACTTTGCAGTCTCTGAACTCTGGCTTTCCTTCACTTTCCAGTCCCTTGTAGCCAAAACTCTTGCGGAGCATTTCACTGACTGTCTCCCTCCCTCTGGTTCATTCTCCCTTCTTACAAATGTAATGTATCTGCCTGCAGCTGTCTTTTAAAACTTGTGAAAGTTGAGCCAGTGCACATTGGTTGATTTGTTACCTGTATCATATGTATTTCTATACAATTCCTTATTTGGTCTGAAGATGTTTCCAGATTATTCCTAAAGACACCTTGAAAAGAGTCTTCGCAAGATCATTTGATCAAATTGAGCAAAACTGTTTTAATACATTTTATATTTTAGAGCCATTACATTGTCTATTTCATTATGTATTGTCCATTCTATATTATCACTGATTACTTTTTACAGTAGCAGAAGCTTGCAAAGCTGGTGAAAATCTTGCCTTCCCTCATAAAATAGGCTCTTTACTTCCTTAAAATGATGCAATGCCTTTTGAAACAGGATGTTGATGTGGGATGTCAACCCACACAAGTGAGAAATCATTCTAATCTAATATCAGTTAAGGAAGGAAAGGCGATTTGAAAAGAGGGTCAAATTGAATTATGCTTCTCCCGGCTTCTTTTGCACTTATAAGCAGCTTCTCTGCAACCTACTGTTACCTACAACATCCTTGTCTGCATAGGTTCCCAGAGACATTTATGTGTATCATCACAGAAGCATAAATCCAACTTTAGTGAGAGAAGAAAACTTGTGAAGACTTTGTGGTTCCATTTTATGTTCACATCTTGTGTCACAGGCTGAGGTCACCTTAAAAGATCCAGTTTTGTAGGAAGTTTAAACTGTTTGTTTAATGGTGCCTTTATATTTTTTTCATCATCATCATTTTGTGAATAACATGCTTAGAAAAGCCTTCAAACCCACTCCTCTTCCTCCTCCTCCCACACCTACACAAATTCATACATTCACACACAAACAACAAGAAGGACTTTTTGGCATTAATTCAGCTTTTTCATAACTTGCTCCATTAGTATGGATTGTTCAGAGCCAGCAAAATATTTAAAATCATCTAAAAATGTTTGTCTTCAACTCGCTCTCACTCACGACGTTCACTCCATGAACGTGATTTTACATCAAAATGTGGTCACTGACATGAGGAGCGCCGACCAGCTGCCTCATTAACCTCCATTATCAACGGAAGAGGAGGTTTCAGGAGTGAAGCAGAAGCAGCCAGTGTCGATATCCCCACTGGTGGTGGGATGGTCCTTGCAGTAGAAACATAAACAGGAGAGCTGCCCCTCAGCTAAAGGGCAGGTACCGTCACCATGGCAACACACAGCTGAAAATTAACAGACTTTAAACTAAATTCAAATCTAATATTTAAGATCTTGAGCACATGTATTTGACTATATAGACTTTTCTAGAATGAAATTAAAGCCAGTGCTTCAGTACAGCGCCAGCCCTTCCACACATTATTAATAATATTCCCCTTTGTAATTCAGTGTGGCGTTGGCTGTCCAGCAGTCAGCAGTCCTCTACCACACACTGTTCGTTGTTCCTGAGGTATTCATACATGTTGTCTGGACGGCGGTCCAACATCCTCTACTGCGTCCACTGTGAGAGGCTGTCAGCAGCCGGCTGGACGCACACTGTTACCGTCTGACATTAATGTCTGTCTTCATCAGACAGAGCTCAAACATCAGATTAACACAAAAATTCAGATTAGCACTCATAAAGTTCAGTTATACAAGCCCACAATGCACCACAGAGGGTTAGGGTGATGATGGACACTGACAGTGTGAGCATGTCCAGCTTAGGTCGATGCTGGACTTCACCACCTCCTGCATGGCATATACAGTATCACAAATGTGCACTGGGCTGTGTTTCTCTGTCTGTGACACAGAAACAGCCCCTCACTTTAGGTTGTGTCGTGATGTGTGACCATCCACAGGCAGCAATTGACTCTACCAGAGAATGACAATACGTAGCAGTTCTACTCACCAGCAATGACAAGCTCTTTGTGTGTGTATTTATGTGATCGGTCAGGCCAGAGAGGCCAAGTGTGGCCGAGTGCCCGCCTCGGCCAGAGTAAACGAGACAGGACAGAACAAGCCATTTTCTCCAACCCCCTCTGGTTAAACTCCCTATTTTCACACCAGTCGCCCTGGAATTGCTCTGTCTCTCTATATGAGCGACATCCTGATGGCACAGTGGCCAGAAAACCCAGCAAGCAAATAGGAGGAAGTCGGGGGTGAGGCAGCAGTGGGGAGGCGTGGGTGACCAAATTAAAGAGAAATCACAGAGATGCAGCTGATAAAATCTCAAACACTTTGTTTGGGTTTGTTTAGTTTAGTTTTGGTTGACCTGCGGACATACCTCTCTTGTGCAGTTTCGATCATGTTGACATCCATCTTGTTTATGTTCATCTGCTGTTGTTTACTCAAGTCAAACATGCGGGACTGGGTCGAACGTTGTTGTCTTGTCGGCTCTCCATGGTGTACGTGACCTTCCTTCGACCCTCCTCTGAGCCTGTTTGGCCACAGGCTGCGATTTAGCTCAGCAAGTCGAGCAGCACTCAGATTCCCCCCAGGTCCTGTTCACTACCGGAGGATCACAGGGTCAAAGAACCTGGCTTTACTTTAAGTTCAAACTGAATGTCCCGAGGGCTAAATTGTTAAGAACACACTGTCTGGTGTATTAGGATGATTGCTGAGGAGGCCAGCCAGGTGTTCCAGCACCGGCAGTGGATTCTCTAGGATTTCTTTACTTATCCTGTTGCATGACAAAATGAATTATTCATTTCTGTATTGTTTTTTTGTGATGTGTCAATGATATTGGTATTAATCATGTGTTGGCAACGCCCTGTGCTTGTAATTGGCATTATTAATTTGTTTGGATATATGAATGCTTCTTTATGTGCCTACACTGTGAATGGATGTCCTTATGGGGATAACAGAATTAATTAATCATACAATCATGAAGAGCTTTGGAGACAGTTTTGAACCAACATCAGTAAAAACAGGCACATGCTCCTTTAAGAAAATGATATACACAGCTACAAATATAATGCAGTGTTGTTTATAATAATGCCCAATACTAGTAGGGCATTACGCAAGATTTTACTTCCAAGTGTGTATTTATGAGGATCTACCGGCAGAAATTGAATATAATGTTATTAGGTTGGTTTACATTTAGGGTAGAATCACCTGAAAATAAGAATTGTTGTCTTTTTGTTATCTTACCATGTAGCATACTTGACCTCAGTTGTTTGGTGATTCTTATCACTTCGCCATTTACTGGTGACTGGGGTCTATGCAGTCGCTACAGTATGGTTGTGTTATGATAATTGGCCCGTTCTATGTTTTTGATGTATCCTTTTTTATGATGATTTTTATTATTTCTATGGTTATTGTTTGATCATGACATCAACTCGATGTCACCAGTTTTGTTCCAACATACACACACACCTTGCAACTTGTCGTGTTAGCTATTAGCCTCATTAAAAAGCGTGAGGCTCAAAATGTCTCCTTTTCAATCTAATAAAGTCTGAGAGCTTAAGTCTGTTGTGTACTCTCTCCTCTAACTACAATATCACAACAAATATTGACAATGTATTTGTATTAAAAAAATAACCCCAACAAAATCCTCTGCAGATGAAGATCATGTGATATGATCGATATCTCTAGAACAGCTAATGGACCTTGTGGTGAGGTTGTTCTGTCAACTGCTGTTTGTGAGGTCAAGAATGAACCTTGATACACCAACATGGACGTGAAGTGCTCTGAAAAAAATGGAAATTTGATATTCGAATAAAGATCAAGCAATAAAATAGAAATTTATGCTCTAATGAAATGTTAGTGCTCTAATTCAGTGCAATGATTACATGGGTTTTGATCTTTCGTGCAACCTTTTGTGCTGAGATGTATTCAATGTAAAATGTATACACGCACCGCTTTATTACCAAAATTACGCACTCGCTATGCAACGTGCAAATGACTGCACCAGCTGTAGACAGTATATAAAATATTCAGTAATCTACTGGACTACCAAGACTAAGAGGCTGCATCCAGTGGGTTTAAGAATTTGGGAGACCTTATAAATAATAGCTGACCAACAATCAATGGATCTTCATGGAGGCTGACTTGAGAGAGAGATAGTCTCTG